AATGGCGCTTGAATCATGTTGGAATGCAAATCCAACCAAATTAAAGACTTGAGATGGCCGATTGAATCAGGTATTTCTCTTACTAACTTCGTGTTTGAGAGTCCAAGATATTCAAAGACTAGAGATAGCCAATTGAGTTGCGTATTTTTCCTGATAAGCTAATGTTTGAGAGATACAGCTCAGTCACTGACTTGAGATGGTCGATTGAGTCGAGTATTTCTCCTAATAAGTTGTTGTTTGAAATATTCAAGCGACTCAAAGACTTGAGATGGTTGGGTGAGTCGAGTATTTCTTCTGCTAACTTTGTGTTTGAGAGATACAACTTAATTAATGACTTGAGATGGCCAATTGAATTGGGTAATTCTTTTGATAAGTTGGTGATTGAGAGATCCAAGTGAATCAAAGGCTTGAGATGGCCGATTGAGTTGGGTATTTATCTTGATAAGTTATTGTATGAGAGATCTAACAACTTGAGAGGGATGCTAGTGTTTGTGTAAGCTTTTGGAAATCGACCAATAAGGTCATAGTTATATGACAAGTCAAGTTCTTCCAAGTACGGGAGATGGAAGATGTTATTGGGTAATTTCCTTAGCAAACCGGTGCTACTAAGATGGAGTGATTTCATAGAAGAAGGATTAAGATAGGTGGGTAAAATTGACGAGATATTAACTTTGTTGAGAAAAAGCTCTTCCAAACTAGTAGAATTATACAAGAGATAGTAGAAGACATGAGGTTCAAGCTTCAAATGATTCCTAGAGAGATCAAGAGACACCAATTTACGAAGAATTGTGATATCCGTAGGAACTCGGCCGATAAACCCAGTATAAGAGATGTTGAGATGTGTGAGACTATTGGAAAGCCTTCTAATCTCACGTGGAAGTTGAGAATTGGTAAGATTATTGAAAGCAAGGTTGAGTGTTTGGAGGTGAGAAAGGTTGAAGAGGGTGGAGTTAGGGTCGATGGTACCTCGTAGCATGCCACAACTGAGGTTGAGAGCGATGACGTCGTTGGTGAAGTTTGTCACAAGTGACACCATCCCAATTACAACAATCAAATACTCGTGTTCTAGTTCATCATAATTGGATAATAGTCGGAACCAATCCAACGATGACATTGTGATCCCGATAATCTTTTTCATCATACGAGTGATTATAAGAGAGAAGATTTTGTTTAAATAAAAGCAAAGCATGAGTCTGTATAAGAGAGCATCTCCATCTCCTACCGGTGTTATTAGAAGAATTGGAGTAGGAATAGGAATAAGCAGAGCAAATGAAGAAAGAGAAAACAAAAAAGGAGAGAAAACACAACTTCAAATGGTTCATTTTGTTTAATTGCAAGTGTCAAGTCGTTCATTGCTACAAATAATCATATAAGGGTTGTGTATTTTTAATTAGATTTTTTCCAACATATAATTTTTGTCAATTGAATCATATTTTATTTTCTCAATTCCAATTTTTTAATTTCTTTAAAAAACCTGATACATCTTAAGATGTAAATTTTTCAAACAATAACTTAAATTGTGACTAATTTAATTCAATCATTTAATTATTACTACTTTTTCTCATTTAGATTTTATTACAAATTTCATGACTTGGAGTTAATGTTATTTTTTATATTATAAGATGATAACACAATAAGTTCTCTACCTGCACGTGATGGCCAAATCGGTCTGACCCGGAACCGGTAAGGACCGGTTAAAGGACCGAAATTTGGGACCGGTTATGGATTTGGGGTGTTTCGTGGGATCCGGACCAGTTATGGCCCGGCCCGGCCCGATTTTTAAAAAATGTAACTATTTTTTTTAATGTAGCCATTTTTGGCCCTTTTTTGGCCCTTTTTTGTATATTTTGCTTTCTAAACACTATATATAAGTGTCTTGGTTGAGAGATTTACATACCAAGTTCTCGATTCGCAAAAAGAAAACGTTCACAATTATCGGCTTCTCGCTATATTTTGTAAGACAATGTAATTTTAATTATAATAAAACGTATTTTTAAAGTGTATTTGAGTGACCCAATTACAAATTTTATAATGTATTAAAATGTATATCATTAAAAAAATAAAAATAAAAAAAAATATTTTTTAATGACCGGCGGCCCATAACCGGTTACAATAAAACTTGACCGGGCTCAACTTTTTCGAGCAGGACCGGGACCGGTTATGCCTGGACCCGGTTATGACCGGTTATAAGAAATCTTGGGACCGGTTAGGCCCGGCCCGAGACCGGTTTTTTACCATCACTACCGACACTACTTTTCATGCTTTTAAAATTTTGTTTATGAAAAATAATTTTGCATTGGAAAACAAATTTATTGTTAAATAATAATGATTTGTATGTTTATTGATTGGTTAGAGTTTGAAAAATCAATTGAAAGAATGGACAACAACATCATCATGCATGATTTTTAATTTAAAAGAGCAACAAGAAATTATCGTTTTGAAATATATAATACGAGAATGGCTTACTTCAAAATGTTATCTAATGCTATAATGAGTAAATTTTTGAAAGTATGATGTCCTAATAAAATATATTTTGAAAGTACATTGTTGTAATAAGAAAAAACTGAAAGTACAATACTATAATAAGGAAATTTGTAAAAGTAGGTTGCTTTTTCACGCATTTTGTCCGTAAAATTTAACACTACTATTTACTTACTGGGTATTTGAAAAAAGGAAGTGAAGTTGTATTAGTGTGTGAGCAAACTGGTGTGTGAAATGAAAGTAATACTCATCTTAACTATATGTATTCAGATTTAATTGTTCTCCTTCTTTGATTTGCAAATGTTACAATAACTTTTAAGAACCTCATTAATTTGTCTAGCATAACCATTAAGATTTTACAAGGATCTTTACCTAAAATACGAAGTTGTATATTATGAACTGGAACTTAGCTGCTTGCTTATATGTAAACAGCTGATTCACATACATCCAGTTTGTATGTTATTTGTTAAGTTGAACCATGACCAGCATGATGATATTATATGAGTGGTATAACATCATGATGTGGTATGCCTTTTGAGGATTAAGACATCCAGCTCCTACCAAGAAATTAATGAATAGGATCTTTAGATCCTTTTAGTTGGTTATATATATCTTCACACAACTTTTACATTTTCCTCTCATCTTATGTTCATCTTGGGAAAATTAGGAAACATGATAACAGGTTTTTGAGCTCTTTTTGTGTTCAAGATTATTGTCATTTTTTGGATTATCATGTTCCTCCCTGTTAGTCCTTAGAATTAAAATAACTATATGTGTTGAATATAACAAGAGGTCATGGTTCTGTTCAACACCAATCCTTTATAGTAGGAAAATCTCCACTTATACATACCTACCAACCTACTCTCAACCTCATTTCAAGCAAATCTTTAGTGATGTGTGTTATGTGAAACATTCAACCATCAAACAACATGAAACATAACATGAATATCAGGAAAATATATGAAAATAGAAAATTATATTATTAACTTTAAGCCAACAAGGGACCAATAAAGTCACAAGTTGAAATGTTCGTAGTTCATATATATATATATATATAGACTTGGGATCATGTGAGACCAACGGTTTTTCGTGAGACCTATAAGACCAATTCTCAACCCTTGGATTAGATTTACAATCGTCAGATATGAACAATTATAAACACCACGAGACTTCTCACTAATTACGAAATTGCCACCTTGCAACTTTGCAACCATTAGATCATTAATTTATAAATTTGATCAATGAATATAAATTGGTCTTACGGGTCTCACGAAAAACCCTTAGTCTCACGTGAACCCAACCCTATATATATATATATATATATATATATGTGTGTGTAATATTTTTTTAAGTGTTTAATAGAATAAAGAAAAAAAAAGAGATGTAAAAGACCAAAATACCTTGGATTTAATTGTGTTAACAAAATCTTTTTAACTTTGTTACAAGGCACTCAAAGAGTGCAAAAATGTAAACCACGAGTCCTATCTTTGCATTCATTTTGATTTTGGACTAAAATGAATTAGAGGTATGAACTACATGGACCAAATTTCTAATTTACTCTGTATTTTATAACTCTCTCGTCCTGGTTCATAACTTACGTTATATTTCATTGCTTTTGATACCATGAGAAGAGAACTTGTTTATGTAATAATGCTTCTATAATTTCATAAGGAGTTTTAAAATCAAGTATGCTTGATAACAATATTCTAATTTGTCCTGATTTGTAGGTTTAGAGATACAACATCACTAAACTCAAATTTGCTAAGAGAAAGTCAAATGGACTTGTTGCGGTGTTATGCACGTCAGTAGGCTTCAAAGGTCGTTCTTTACCTTGCTTTTCATATTCAATTTTCTTAGTTGTAGTTAAAGTTGAAGCAAGAGAAATAGAAGAAGATGTTTATGTTGATAAGGATGTGCATACAACATGTTCATCCTTTGAAACTCAATCTAAGATTACCAAAAATAACATAGAAACTCATATATGGAATTTTACATTGATTAAGCATTAGTGATGTATGTTACAACATCTAAAACTCCATTATGTTTTGCCCTTGTTAGGAGAACCAGGTACCTAAATGCTACATCTCAAGTAACAAATTGAAGATTTTAAAAATATGTTATCCATAATAGAAATGAGACTGTTGATACCATCCAATGTCACCAACAAAAATAAAAAAAATGAAATGAAATTTAATAAAGAGCTAAAACAGAAAATAAGTCTACAAACAAAACTGAAAAAAGTAGAAGATGCAGAAAGCAACAAATGAAATAGCACAACTTTAATACCATGTCGAATCTGGCTCTATCTTATTTCAAATCATGCTCTGCAACTACATAATTCAAAACATCCCGAACTTCATCTCTACCTACATCATAAAATTTTAAGAAAAGCAACAAGGATAAGGTGTTTTGCACAATTTGATTACAATAAAAATTAATGCAAAAAACGCACCATTAATTAAGGAATTGATTTCATTTTTCGATATAAACATGTCTTCTCTTCTTTTGCCTCCACAGGATTATGTGCTCTAATTCATCAGCAATTGCATTGAACCATTTTGGTCTTCCCATTGACAACATCATATATCCCATCCCCAATCCAAGTAAGGTTCCGCATCCATATCCCAACATCACCACTTTCCATGTAAATCGAGTCTTCTCATCTCTATCGACTTCAAGTAGTGGGGCACTCTGATGTTCACACCTAGGCAGTGGAAACCCACATAGTCCCGGATTCCCTTCGAATGAGGTTGCTTCAAATGTCTTGAACTGTGTTCCGTCAGGAATGGGACCCACAAGATGGTTTTGCGACAGATTTAAGACTTCAAGATCTGTGATAAAGGCAAGACTTTGGGGTATCTCTCCTACTAGATGGTTACATGATAGGTCTAAGGACTCGATCTCCAAGAGATTTCCTAGAGCTTCATGGATTCGATCATTGAGGTTGTTGTGGGATAAGTTCAGTACTATCAAAGAGTAAAGCCCACCAATAACGTCTGGAATCTCTCCTTCAAATATGTTACTAGATAGATCAACAATTGTGTAGTCAACTGAAATTTTTGGAAATGGAAGTTCCGAACCTTTCACTGCAATAGTGATTGAGTAGAACTTGCCAATGTTCAAATATTCCAGTTCTCTGCTCTTCTTAACCCCGTTCTTCATCGCATCAAAATTTTGAAAATATGTTCTAGGGAGATGTCCTACAAACTTGTTTTGAGATAAGTCGAGCACTTTGAGACTAGAAAATGGGTGTTTAATGATTGAAGAGGTTTCTACAGGACCATGCAACTTGTTTGATTTGAGAACAAGAACCTGGAGATGTTGAAGATTAGCTAACCAGTGAGGGAATGTACCATTTAAGTAGTTGTTTCCCAAATCAAGCACTCTCAAGGATTCACATTTAGACAACCCACTCGGGACCTCTCCTTCTAATGAATTTCCATTCAAAATCAATCCCTCTAATACACCACAATCAACCCATGTATTTGGAATGGTGCCATAAAAATTATTGTTTCCCAAGTCTACCATCTCAAGATTCAAACTGTTATTACCTAAGCATTGTGGAATCTCTCCATCAAATCTATTATCGGACATATCCAAATACGACAGATTATTCATGTTGCAAATTGATGGAGGGAATGACCCCTGAATTAGGTTGGAATGCATATCCAAGTAATACAAAGACTTGAGATCATCGATTGAGTGAGGTATTTCTCCTGCTAATTTTGTGTTTGAGAGATCCAAGAATTCTAAAGACTTAAGATGGCCGATTGACTCGGGTATTTCTCCTGATAAGTTGGTGTCTGAGAGATATAAGTGAGTCAGAGACTTCATATGGCCGATTGAGTTAGGTATTTCTCCTGATAAGTTGGTGTCTGAGAGATACAAGTCAGTCAAAGACTTGAGATGGCCGATTGAGTCAGGTATTTTTCCTAATAAATTGGTGTATGAGAGATCCAAGCGAATCAAAGACTTGAGATAGCCTATTGATTCGGGTATTTCCCCTGATAAGTTGGTGTGTGAGAGATCTAAGCGAATCAAAGACTTGAGATGGCCGATTGATTCGGGTATTTCTCCTGATAAGTTGGTGACTGAGAGATATAATCTAGTCAAAGATTTGAGATGACCGATTGAGTCGGGTATTTCTCCTGATAAGTTGGTGTATGAGAGATCTAAGTCACCCAAAGACTTGAGATTGCTTATTGAGTTGGGTATTTGTCCTGATAAGTTGGTGTATGAGAGATCCAAGTAAGTCAAAGACTTGAGATGGCTAATTGACTCGAGTATTTCTCCTGATAAGTTGGTGCCTAAGAGAAGCAAGTAATTCAAAGACTTGAGATGACCGATTGAGTCGGGTATTTCTCCTGATAATTTTGTGTTTGAGAGATCTAACAACTTGAGAGGGATGCTAATGTTTGTGTAGATTTTGGGAAATCGACCAGTGAGGTCATCGTTACCTGACAAGTCAAGTTCTTCCAGATACGAAAGATTAAAGATGTTATCGGGTAATTTCCCTAGCAAACCGGTCCTAAAGAGATGGAGTAATTTCATAGAAGAGAGATTAAGATAAGTGGGTAAAATTGACGAGATATTAACATCATTTAGCGATAGCTCTTCCAAACTACTAGAATTATGTAGGAGATTGTAGAAGATATGAGGTTCAAACTTCAAATCATTCCAAGAGAGATCAAGAGACACCAATTTACGAAGAATTGTAATATCCATAGGAACTTGGCCTGTGAACCCACTATCAGAGAGGTTGAGATGTATGAGACTATTAGAAAACCTTCCATTCTCACGTGGAAGTTGAGAATTGATAAGATTATTGAAAGCAAGATTGAGTGTTTGGAGGTGAGGAAGGTTGAAGATGGTGGAGTTAGAGTGGATGGTACCTCGTAGCATGCCACAACTAAGGTCGAGAGCGATGACGTCATTGGTGAAGTGGTGACAAGTGACACCATCCCAATTACAGCAATCAATACTCGTGTTCCAATTCATCATAATTGGATAATAGTTGTAACCAAGCCAACGATGACACCGGTAATCATGATAATCGTTTTCATCATACGAGTGATTATAAGAGAGAAGATTTTGTTTGAAGAGAAGCAAAGCATGAGTCTGTGTAAGAGAGCCTCTTTTATTGGAAGAATAAGAGGAGCAAATGAAGAAAGAGAAAAGGAAAAAGGAGAGAAGAACCAACTTTGAATGATTCATGTTGTTTAATTGCAAGTGTCAAGTTATTGATTGCTACAAATAAATATACAAGGTTTTTGTATTTTAGATATTTGTTAGATTTTTTCCAACATGTAATTTTTGTCAACTGAATCATATTTTATTTTCCCAATTTCCAACAAAACGTTAAATTAAGAAACAATGCCAATTTTTTAATTTCTTTTAAAAATCTTATACAACTTAAAGATGTTACTATTTTTCAAACAATAATTTAAAAATTGTAACTAATTTAATTATATAAAAGTTATTTATGATATTTATTTAAGATTAAACTTTTACCATATCTATGATTTTAATATGATTTAATTTCTTTATTTGAAAAAATATTTTATATTTCATGCATTTAAAATAAGCGTATGTAGTTTTTATTTAAAGAACTCATTTTTTTTATTTAAAGAAATATTTTAAAAATTACAATTTTTTTCAAAATCACATATGATTCACAACTAATTAGTTTCTTTTTGACAGTGTTTTCAAGCTTGAAAAATAATAATTCAAATTAAACATTGAAAAGAAAAAATAAAGAAAAAATAGAATTACATGTGATGTATAACAAAACACATTTAAAATGATTCATTTTCTTTAATTGCAAGTGTCAAGTTTGTATATCATGTAGTTGTTAATATCTATTATATTTTTTACATGTAAATTTTTTGTCAATTAAATCGTATTTTACTTTCAAATTTCTACAAAACATTAACAAACAATTCCATTTTCTGGTAACCATCATCAACAAAGTTCATCATTTTTTTAAAATATTTTACAAAGTTTAAAAAATATACAAATATTTAATTGAGTCGTCAGTCAAATGTTATAATTCTAAAAAGATTGCATATAAGGGGTCGTTTACCAAACACTTATCCGGTAAGCGCTTACTGGTGAAATTTAACATTATCGTTTACTTAGTGGGTAAAATTTTAGTCCACCAAAATGATATTGTATGCAACAATTTATCCGATAAGCGTTTACCATGGTAAGAGTTGTCGCCCTCACTTACCGGGTAAGACTCTTGGTCTTTGTCTCGCTCATACCGGGTAAGATTCTTGGTGTTTATCATATTCATCTGGTAAGGTAATGTGACTTGGTGTTCACTTACCCAAGTAAGTGTTTGGTAAACGGCCCCTAATTGTAGCCTCTAAGAAAATACTAGAGGTTGTCTAAAGTTTTAATTATGATAGGTAGACCTTTCAATTCACCAGGTTCCATTTTCTTGGGCAAAATTGAAAAAAATGACAAAAGACTAATGAAGCTTATTGAAATGTAACTCTAAATCTATACTATATTATAAAACATTTGACAAAAACTCTTAAAAACCATTTTTTATGCATGAAATACAGTATATTGATGCATATTACTTAAAATTCAAGATTACAAATAAATTATACATAAGTACAACTTATTAAAGCTCCATATTTGAATTCGTGTAAATAATTGCCGATAAACATAATCAAATAGAGGATAAACATGTCATTTTAAAATATAAAAAATCTGAAATATAATTATGATAATTATTGAGTTATAACAGAATAATTAATTATTATCTTTATAAAAAAAATTACGTTATTAAACCAAGTATAAATTACTTTGTTATTGAACATAAATTAAATTATATAAAAATTGAATTAGACAATTACACAAAAAATGAGAAATTTTAAATAGTTAATTTGATGATACTAATATCAATATATTTTTGTCAAATTTTTATGATATCTTTAAATTTATGTTTTATTCAAAAAAATAAAAACATCATCATTTTTTTCAAAATCACATAAAATCATACTATAACGTCGACTGAGATAAAAAAATAAAATAAAATATTAAAATCAAGATGTATCTCGCTACATCGCGCGAATACCCTTCTAGTAATGTTTCAATAAACTAGCTTATAAACTACTTTTCACCATCCAAACGAGACTTTTGTAATAATTTTAAAAAATAAGCTAGCTGATGTTTGCCAAACATGACAGTAAACACAAATAAACTTAACTTTGCTAGCTATTAATAACCTATAAACAAAACATAACCCAACATCAAGTCTTTATGTTCGTGAGTGTGTTGGATAGTTCTAATTTTTTTAATATCTTGAATTGGAATTTGGATAATACGAGCAATATGTGGTTGTTCTAAGTCTTTTAATTGGAATTTGGATATTGGGTATTGAGCATAATTGTTTTTGACTATTTGTGTAGACTTTTCAAGGATACTTATCTATTCACGACTAGACCGGTTATGGTCCAAATTTCCCTTTGAATAAAAAACTTGACTAAGTCTTAAAACTGGAGGGTGTGGACTTGGTCTTATTATTATTATTATTATTATTATTATTATTATTATTATTATTATTATTTTTATTTTGGTGCAAATTTTCCAACTTTAGATTTATTAATTTGAGAAGACGCCACTTTATCGACGAATCATGCTCCAATTATTTGCATAAAAATTGAGGTCATTGTTGTTCGGTTAATGTTTGTCAACAAAAGACATGTCCTTTAGTCTCTGTCTCTCAAAATAATTGATAAAATAGTAAATTCTAAATTTTAAATAATTAATATTAATGAATAATTTACAATTGAAATTAATTAAGAATTTGAAATTATTATTTATTAATAAATAACAATTTATATTCAATGCTTATTTAATTAATAATAAATAACAATTGATATTGATCAGAGGTATAATTGGAAAAAAATGGCAAAAGACTTATGAAGCTTATTGAAACGTTACTTTAAATAGTGTTTCAAACGAGACTTTTGTAATAATTTTAAAAAGTAAGCTAACTTATGTTTGCCAAAACATGGTAGTAACACAAATTAATCACTAACACATCATTCGTAATAACATAAAAATTAAGGAAATAACACACCAGTTAATTAAGGAATTGATTTCATTTTTTTGATATAAACATGTCTTCTCTTATTTCGCCTCCGCATGATCATATGCTCTATTTCATCAGCAACTGCATTGAACCACTTTGGTCTTCCGGTTGACAACATCATATATCCCATCCCCAATCCAAGTAAGGTTCCGCATCCATATCCCAACATCACCACTTTCCATGTAAATCCATTCTCCTTGTCTTCATCGACTTCAAGCTATGGGGCACTCCGATGTTCACACTTGGGCAGCAGAAACCCACATAGTCCCAGATTCCCTTCGAATGAGGTTGCTTCAAATGTCTTGAACTGTGTTCTATCAGGAATGGGACCTACAAGATGGTTTTGCGAGAGATTTAAGACTTCAAGATCCGTGATAAAGGCAAGACTTTGAGGGATCTCTCCTATTAGATGGTTACATGATAGGTCTAAGGACTCGATCTTTAGGAGATTTCCTAGAGCTTTTGGCATTCGATCATTGAGCTTGTTGTGGGATAAGTTTAGTACTATCACAGAGTTAAGCCTACCAATAACATATGGAATCTCTCCTTCAAATATGTTGCTAGATAGATCAACAATTGTGTAGTCAACTGAAATTTTTGGAAATGGAAGTTCCAAACCTTTCACCGCAACAATGATAGAGTAGAACTTGATAATTCTCAAATATTCCAATTCTATGCCCTTCTTAACCCCGTTCTTCATCGCATCAAAATTTTGAAAATATTTTCCAGGGAGATGGCCTATAAACTTGTTTTGAGATAAGTCGAGAACTTTGAGACTCAAAAATGGGTGTTTAATGATTGAAGAGGTTTCTATGGGACCATGAAACTTGTTTGATTTAAGAACAAGAACTTGGAGATGTTGAAGATTAGCTAACTAGTGAGGGAATGTACCATTTAAGTGGTTGTTTCCCAAATCAAGCACTTCCAAGGATTTACATTTAGACAACCCCCTCAGCACCTATCCTTCTAATGAGTTTCCATTCAAAATAAGTCCCTCTAATTCATCACAATCATCCCATTTATTTGGAATGGTGCCATGAAAACTATTATTTCCTAGGTCTAACATCATTATATCCAAACTGATATTACCCAAGCATTGTGGAATCTTTCCATCAAATCTTTTATTGGACATATCTAAATACCACATATAACTCATGTTGCAAATTGATGGAGGGAATGACCCTTGAATCAGGTTGAATTGGAAATCCAAGTGATTCAAAGACTTGAGACGGCCGATTGATTTGGGTATTTTCCCCTGATAAGTTGGTGTTTGAGAGATCCAAGTAATTCAAAAACTTGAGATGACCGATTGAGTCAGGTATTTCTTCTGCTAAGTTGGTGTTTGAGAGATACAAGCGAATCAAAGACTTGAGATGGCCGATTAAGTCGGGTATTTCTTCTGATAAGTTGGTGTGTGAGAAATCCATGTAATTCAAAGACTTGAGATGGCCGATTGTATCAGGTATTTCTCCTGATAAGTTGTTGCCTATGAGATCCAAGAAATTCAAAGACTTGAGATGGCCGATTTAGTCGGGTATTTCTCTTGATAAGTTGGTGTATGAGAGATCCAAGATAATCAAAGACTTGAGATGGCTGATTAAGTAGGTTATTTCTCCTGATAAGTTGGTGTATGAGATATCCAAGACAGTCAAAGACTTGAGATGGCCGATTGAGTCAGGTATTTCTCCTGATACGTTGGTGTATGAGAGATCCAAGACAGTCAAAGACTTGANACTTGAGATGGCCGATTGAGTCAGGTATTTCTCCTGATACGTTGGTGTATGAGAGATCCAAGACAGTCAAAGACTTGAGATGGCCGATTGAGTCAAGTATTTCTCCTGATACGTTGGTGTCTGAGAGAATCAAGTAATTCAAAGACTTGAGATGGTCGATTGAGTCGGGTATTTCTCCTGATAAGTTGGTGTATAAGAGATCCAAGCGAATTAAAGACTTGAGATCGCCGATTAAGTTGGTATTTATGTTGATAAGTTGGTGCCTGAGAGATATAACTCAGTGAAAGACTTGAGATGGCCGATTGAGTTGGGTATTTCTTCTGGTAAGTTGGTTTATGTGAGATCCAACTTAGTCAATGACTTGAGATTGCCACTTGAGTCGGGTATTTCTCCTGATAAGTTGGTGTATGAGAGATCCAATATATTCAAAGACTTGAGATTGTCGATTGAGTTGGGTATTTCTCCTGATAAGTTGGTGTCTGTGAGATACAAGTTATTCAAAGACTTGAGATAGCCGATTGAGTCGAGTATTTCTCTTGATAAGTTGGTGCTTGAGAAATCTAACAACTTTAGAAGGATGCTAGTGTTTGTGTAAACTTTGGGAAATCAACCAATGATGGCATAGTTAAGTGACAAGTCAAGTTCTTCAAGATACGGAAGATTGAAGATGTTATCGGGTAATTTCCCTAGCAAACCGGTGTGAATAAGATAGAGTGATTTCATAGAAGAAGAGAGATTAAGATTGGTGGGTAAAATTGATGAGATATCAACACCATCCAACAAAATCCTTTCCAAATTAGTAGAGTTATGTAAGATATTGTAGAAGATATGAGGTTCAAGCTTTAAATCATTCAAAGAGAGATCAAGAGACACCAACTTACGAAGAATTGCGATATTCGTAAGAACTTGGCCGATAAACTAGTAGAAGAGATGTTGAGATGTATGAGACTATGAGAAAACCTTCCATTCTCGTGGAAGTTGAAAATTGGTAAGATTATTGAAAGCAAGGTTGAGTGTTTGGAGGTGAGGAAGGTGGTAGAGAGTGGAGTTAGGATGGATGGTACCTCATAACATGCCACAACTGAGGTTGAGAGCGATGACGTCATTGGTGAAGTGGTCACAATTGACACCATCCCAATTACAACAATCAATGCTCATGTTCCAATTCATCATAATTGGATAATAGTCGGAACCAAGCTAAGCATGACAAAAGTAATCATAATCCTCATGTTTATGATACATGTGATTATAAGGGAGATGATTTTGTTTGAAGTGAAGCAAAGCATTAGTCTGTGTAAGAGAGCATCTTTTATTGGAAGAATAAGAGGAGCAAATGAAGAAAGAGAAAAGGAAAAAGGAGAGACAATGCATCTTTGAATGATTCATTTTGTTTAATCGCAAGTGTCAAGTTGTTCAATGCTATAAATACGCATACAAGGTTTTCTAATAGATTGAATTGGAATCTGGATATAAGGTATCCAGTATAATTTTTGTTGGCTACTTATCTAGACTTTCAAGTAAACTTATTTGGTGACGATTAGATTATTAATTCAAAGTAGAAAAATTATTACCATAGTACTTCAAATTATTTTGCATATGTAAAATAAAGTAGTTTTTTGTGGGCAGTTCATGGAAAACAGAGCGTGTAGAAATGAAGGTATTGGATGCTTGTTTGCTTTTGGAAGGACTTTTGACTAATAACAAGGATTGATTTGGATTTCAAAAAATCAGCAAGATGATAGATGTTGTTTAAAATTTTGTGTAGAATACTTGATCTTGACTCCATGCCCAATATACACTCGACGTCAAATGAGTTTGTGGTCCAAATTTCATTTTAAATTAAGAACTTGACTCCAAGTCTTGCAATTGGAGAGTGGGGACTTGACCTTAATTTTCATTGGTGCAAGTTTTCCGACTTCAGATTTTTGGATGTAAGAAGACATTACTTTATTGACAAAATTCATTAGAATTGAGGTCTTTGCTTCTCAATTAAAGACATGTCTTTTAGACTATGTTTGACGAAGTAGCTAATTAGCTAATGAACTAATTACATTATTTTTTGATAAAAACTAGTCGATAAGCTATTTGAAAATTGTAAAATGATCAAAATAACATTAAATAATTAGTCAATTATAATATTTCATAATCAAAATAAATAACACTTTGATTAATACAAACCAAATGATAAAGAAAATTAAGTAATATAATATGTTAATTAATAAATTTTAGTTAGAATTATTATATGTATATACAATATTATATTTTGTATATTTGTATGACAAAATACATATTTTATAAGATATCTATATTAAATAATGATTTTAAATWACCACTACATATAATATGAATAAAAAAATTAATATTTAAATATTTAAATAAAATTATGGAAGTTTATTATTTATCTAACTCTTATATGATATACAAAAATATTTTTAAAATTATTATATTTATTTCTCGAACATTAAATATATCGAATAATAATAAAGGTAACAATAATGGTAATAAAAAATAGTAAATTTTAAATACTTAATATCAATGAATAATTTATAATTAAAATTAATTAATAATCCAAAGTTAATAATTTATAATCAGTATTTACTACTATTAATAAACAATAGTTAATACTAATTAGAGATATAATTGAGAAAAACTAACAAAAGATTCATGAAGTTTATTGAAACGCTACTCCAGTTATTTTGGTTATAGTAAGTTTTTAATATTTACAACATACAAAATTATACATATTTAAACTATTTATCATTATAAGCAATAAGAGCGTTTTTTTATTTTGATRTTGATTTTATGGCCGTTTATCAACACAAACCGAGTAAATTCTTGGTCATCAAAGTAACAAAATATAGACGTCTTTTTACCCGATGGATACTAACCAAGTTTAAGTTATCATCTTTATTTATTGGGTAAGATTTTCAATTAGCAAAATAACACGATAAGATTGTTGATAGAAACCAACATTTCTTACTGGATAAACACCTCTTACATGATACGAGACAATGTTTTCTTATTCAAGAAAAAACAGCAAGGGCCCTTTTTAGCTATGGTATTTTGGTGTGATTTGAAAATCGGATGCATCCACTCACATGTTTTGTTCAAAGAAAAATGCGGAATTGAAATCCAGAGGATTTCAATGATATCCAGAACATTAGATTTTGAAAATTCCATGGGGGTAATCCATATAATCAGCTTTATCCATACATGATTTAATACAAAACCATCCTGAAAGCTTCAAAATTTTTGTAATTGACCTCCTGCCAATCCATGCCCAATAGGGAAATATTTATAGGCCCACCTCACCCTCAGACCCAGAAGCCCTTGACACAGAGAATACGCTGCTCCGCCCAACTTTTCTCACTGGCTCCATCGCTCCGCCCATCTCACCAATTGGTAAGTCGATATTATGGGGTTTACTTCATATCTTTTTAATCTTCTGCCTTATGTTAAGTCATCTTTCAATTCTATTCTATTCTCCAAAAGAGTCAACACCTAATAACTAGAATTACTTTTGAATGCTTTGATTACTTGATACTTTTAGTACTTGCTTCTATAATCTTAAAAGGCTCGTTAATATGTCGAACTGAGCTCGAGTTCAAGCCGAGTTTATTCGAGTCGAGTGTTGACCTAGTTGATTTCGAATAGCTAACGAATTGTCTTGTATCATTTACACCCCTGTTCAGGAACATGAAAACCAAGTTCTTGGGCATGGGGACATGGGTCGTCGCCCAGGGCATCATCAGCCCAAGTGAATCAGGCCCAAGTCCGCTATACTATACCTCCTCGGCTCATCGGTTCCAGACCTCCTCGCTTCCTCTATTCGATAATCGCCTAATCGGCCGACGGATAATCTCCATTCTCTAGACTCCGTCCTCGTCTTCCTCTTCCCACCTGGCTCCCACTCCAGTGCTCCGTCTTCGGTCTTCCCCTTTCCTAATCGTTGCTCCCTCTCAGTCTC